TAAGACGTATTTTACTCTGATATATAATTCATCGTTTCTTCGTCATAAATTTTTCCGTACGCCTACGTAATGCAACATGTAATTGAGGCACGAGCAGACGAGGTGTCTCTCTCTTAATTTTCAGCATTCTTTGCGCGAAGTAACACAACGGAAGTTCTTTGTTCCGTAATTTTCTTTCCCGTGTAAATTCCTCCCCGCACCAGCTCCGGATTAAGCTTCCGCTGACTCTTCGTACGTGCGTTCTTCCGCTTTTCAAGCATAGAGGCTATGACTCATGTGTGGAACAAAGCAGCGCAAAGAAAAAGATAGAAAAGAGCGTATGATACCCGCGCGTTATTGCTACACTTGCACAAGGGAATGGTAGAAGGAATTAGTTATCAAAAGCCCGCGCGAGTCTGCGAGAACTGGGAGGAACTCCATTTTGGCTGGGGATCTCGGCGGGAAAAGAAATGAGCCGGCGCAAGAGTCAGGACGCGAAGGTCCATTAATAACCGTCGATAGCTCGCCGTTGGAAACTGTCGGGGAAGTAATTGGAAAAGTTGCAGGCGAAACGACATGCTTTTCCATTAATCTACATTAATACCGCGCGAAATCTTGCTGTAGTTACGCTCGCGCCTGTTGCGTTTAGCGAAGAGACAGCCTAAGGGCCCTGGTAAACACCCTCATAAGCAATTAAGCCGCTTAGAAACTCCACCGCTCATTTATTATCTCTGTCCTTTCTAAGCAAGCTCGCAAGCACTGATAAACGACGGCCCGCGCTAAGAAGTCGTCGTCCTTCAAAGCAGCTCCCTAATTGCGCGTTAAGCATTTCGAAGTTCCGCTTAGGGCTTAGTGTGCCGCGTTGCACCAAGGTGCTCTCGGGGAATAATTATGATTCGCAACGAGATTTGGAAGAGCTCGACACAAAGGCGGTGTTAACCCACTTCCCAAGGGAACTCGAGAGAATTAGTGCCGAAGTGTCGAGGAAACTTAATGTCAAATTTTCGGAAAAGAAGATAACTCACTTTACTTTGTAACTCTCTTCTTTTGCGCCTCGGCATTCGAGATGTCGTATCTTGAGGATTCTAACTCAAGCAAGTCAGGATTTCCAAGACGCTTAAATTTGCAGATATTTCATATCTCTGAATATTTTTGCAAGTGGTCCGCACCTCGGAACGTCCAAAATTTCCTGACACCTGAAGCACGAAATATTTTCAACTTTAAGTGCACGATCAGTTTTCATCGGACGTTCGGATCAAGTTTTGGCTGGCTAAAATTCCGAGACCGTTTTTACATCCGAGTCACACGTCGGATGCTCGAAGTCGCGAATGTTCCGCATGTTTCGAAACGTGCGGAATGTTTCGAATGTCCGAAAGCCCGAATATCCAATACCGACTGTCCATATCCTCAGATATGGAAACGTCTTGAATTCTCGTCTCGCGAGAGCAAGCAGAGGCTTCCACCGAACCCGATATACACACGTACACACGCACACACGCGTATATCGATATCGAGATGTCTCAAACCAGGCCGGGTGAGGGACGTTGCGGTAAAGGGTTGATACAGGGCAGTCCGAAGTTTGCCGACAGCTGGGGGAAGACGAGGGATGACCGGCGGACAATAGGATACGTCGCCGATGACGAACTCGGCCTGCTTCCAATCCCCGGAGTCGCTCGGGGGTTGCCGGAACAGCCGCAAACAAGGGGTTGGGCGAGTCAGCATTTCCACCAGCGACCCCGCCACTGCTACCCTTCCCGCCGACCCCGCCGCCCGTTATGTTCCAAACGGTTTACGCATTCCCAAGCGATGGAGTGCGAGGCGCGGGATATTTCTGCTTACGATTATACCGCGTGTTTCGCGATGCTGGATATTCGACGTTTTGATAACACACTGCTACTTGTGTGGGTGGAAGGGGAGGCGCTGTGTTTGAAGCTCGGGATATTTGCACGGGATATTACGACAAGGGGCGATTTTCCGCCGAGTGGAAGGAACAATTATACCGACTGCGTAGAAATGAGTTGCGCGGAATATCGTGGGATAATTATTGAAATTATAGAATCGCGAGTTGTGTGCATTTGTGCGTGAATTTTACGCGGACGCGGGATATTGCAGGTTAATTTTAGAAAACTATGTCGATTTTAATTAATGTCTTTGATAAATTAATGAATTCGAATAACTTAAATTAGAAAACATAAAACTGCCGAGGAATCTTTTATGAAGTGAAAATTTAATTAATGAATGGAATAATTAGTGAATCAAACTTTTTGGTGGAAATTTCACGAAAGAAGCATCGTTTTCCTGGTTCATGTAAGAGTTTATTTGCTAAACGTGAGGCAAGACAGTGAAAATAATTAATGATAATTCAAACCGACAGCGTGGGAATGGCTGAGCGTTTAAATTTCCTCGCAGACTTTGTTCCGCAGAAAAAAGGAGAAAAAGGAAAAATAGCTACAAGGGAAATCGTATATTTTTTTTTTTTCGTTCACGTATGTCTCGCTGCAGGCTGCAACGAAACATACGCGAAAAATGGCGGCGACAGCTGTCGACGTGCGAGTTTCGATGCCGTCGCAAAATTCTGTATCGTAGAACTCGGATATGAAGCGCGCTCCTCGCGGCGAAATTATTGCCGAGCGAAATCGTGAAACCGACAAATTTCATTATTGTCGTTTTGTTGAATTTTTACAACGGTAATTATAACGAATATAATATGACAATATATATATATATATATATATATATATATGTGAACAACAAACACACAACGTATATATAATTTGTAGTAGAAATTACAATGAATAAGAGGAAAAAATGAGACGTGCAGTTTTTATCAGGGCGTCTAAAGCTTTTAAATTGTCGAAATTTAATTTCCGCTGCTGTTACAACTCAAAAACGCTTAGAAAACTGACGACGCTTTTGCTGTAAAAAAAATTGACTTCAAATTGATGAAAAAATATAGATATATATTCATGAATTTTCAAACCTTTAACATTCTGCATTCAAAATCTGACGCACAAAATTGAAAACGCCAATCATCCCCATAGAGAGGGAGAAAAAGAGAGAGAGAGAGAGAGAGGGAGAGAGGGAGAGAGAGAGAGAGAGAGAGGGAGAGAGAGAACAGCGGACAAGTGGAGTTCAGTAAGTCCCTTCTGTAGTCTGTGATGCGAAATAATTTTTAAATAAAATTTCTCTCGTCAAAGAATCGCGCGTTCAGTGGCCCGAAACAATAAATAAAAGTCGCCCTTCGGAAACGAGCGCTGTGCTTGAAGTCGAAGGACTAGGATAGGTTGGCGGCAAGGGGGAACAGGGTAGGGCACGAGGGAGGAGGTGGAACGAGCTTCAAGAGTACCATAATTTACGCTCCACTCGTTTCCTTCTCGTGTATACCTAACGTGTACGAATGAAGCATAAATTCACTCGCTATCCCTCTCTTGCCATTCCTTATATTCGCGATCCACCGCCGAGAGGAAACTTAGCGTTTAACCGCGCGAGAAACGCTGCTGAATTTTCCGTTTTGGGAGATTTTAATGGCACGTGACAAGCGACACATTACTTCTTTCTGAAACTGAAATTAAACCTCGCTGTTATTAACCCCTTCTCTCCGTGATATTCTACTACTATAATTTTACTATACTATACTATAATTTTTACTGTATAATAATAATAATAATAATAATAAATAAAATAATATAAATAAGGATAATGTGTAATATATAAATATATGTCATATGCATGCATGCCAAGTAAATGAAATTGTTTGTGAAACCTTTTAGAGGAATTCGATACTTAATATCCCGGAATTGAAAAAAAGAGGATAATAACGTCAAGCGAGTTATTCCTACAGATGTCTCGATATTGAGGATAATCCCAAAACCCACAGAGGTACATTGTGTCCTGGCGCTTCGTGAGCCAATAAAATTCTCGCTCGCTCTAATGAAATAACAAACGCGTTTCGAGCACGGCTCGATTCCTCGGGGGTGTGAAAGGAGGTTGCGGGTATAGGGGAATGATCACGGAGGGCAGGCGCGCCCCATAAAGCGACCCTTCAACCCCTCTGCGAGTCCGTTCGTATCGAGATACAGCACGTACGGCTCCTTGTCCAAGCAACCGCTCGCTTCATCCTCCACCTTCCTCCTCCGTTTTTCCTCCTTTTTTTCGTCCTTCGAGCCCGTTAGGTAGCGCAAAAGCTCGCTATTTATGAGCGATTCGTCCGAGGGCCTGGAACACACAATTCCCACCGATATACCGTCACCCTCGTCTTTTTCGCCGCTTCTTCTTCGGATCGTCCCAATTTTTCTGCTCCATAACCTCTAACGAGTGCCGGCCTGAAGAGGGATCATTTTTCATTGATAACCACCAGTGGCTTCGTTCGGTTTTCTTATTTTATCGTGATCGCGCTGGTACCGGGGATAGTTCCGCACTCATGTTTCTCCCGTCGGAACATGTCGGAAGAAGAAACATGTAAGCTTCTTTTGAATCGCTCGGTAGTCTTCCAATGCTATTTGCTTGCGTCGAGCTCATTTTTTCGATACAAAGATTGGATTCGAGATCGAAGCGAAGAAACTGAAACGTTTCTTTGAAATACCCAGGAAAAAAAGTAAAAATGGAATTATGAGAAAAAATCGAAATGTGACAAAAGAATCGGTAACATTTTTCTCGTAACGTGAAGTATCGTTGTTAATCTAAGAACACGGAAAAAATAATTAGCTAACTCTACAATATAACTAGAATTTAATTGCCAGCTGTGGGAGCTAAAAACTACGTACAGAAGCAAAAAATTAGCGAAATTAACTCAATTTCAGTTGTTTACATGAACAGCTAATTTTATCTGTAGGGGCTAATTCTTTTCTTCTGTGACAAAAAAACGATATTCTAATACTTTTATACTAATAAGTAATTAATAAGTAATTATAAGTATAACAAGTAATTAATAAGTAATTAACCTATATCTGATAGATATCGAATTATCGCATTGTCAGTCTATAATGAAATAAGTCTGCAATTAATAATCATTAATTTTCCAGGAGCTGCGGCGGCGTCGCGAGTTTACGTTGACGCTTTGTCCCGATTAGCTCGTCAAGCTCAGCTGGGAACATGGGGCGGCTCCAAGGATGTGGGTGAGTGAAAAACTTGAAATCGATCAGCTCGCATCGCGGAGAGCACGAACCATAACTCATACAGTCTGTTTCACTAAACCGGGAGAGAGAAATGGATAGGGAAACAATGATGAACCCGTTTATATTTACACCATACGTTTACATGATTTATGTCACTCGCGTTATTTAATATTTGCGCTCTGATATTTCAAAACGTTCAGGCCGATCCTCTTAACGAACTGCCCCAATGATATCAAATGCATTCGAAATAATTTTTCCGATCTCGATCCGCGCCAATTTCGTCCCTCACCGTGTATATTCCGAATTTTTTTTTTTCCGAAATACCTCCTATCTGTTATTTTTTTGCATCCTTTTCACATCTGTTTTTATAATCTTCCTATTCTTGAAAAATATTCGAATATCACTCCGAAAGCATATGGATGCGTACGGTTATGTTTCATAACTTTTCCAACTGATCGAGTTTTAGGAGCGCGTACTCTTCGATTCGTTTCGTCAAAACAAAAGCCCAGATAAAATAGTTTCTCGCTTTCGCCGGTGAAGTTTTGCATCGCCCCGGAACCAGGTGAGCTTTTTCGAGGCTTCGTAAGCCAATAAAGCGCGTTTAACCGTCCCTAAGTTCGAAAGCTCCCACCCTGGACTCCCCAATCCCTTCTCCTCCCCGCTCCGACTTCGATGAGTGAAAGTTGCTAACAAGATCATTGCAGCGTGATAAGTGTACGTATTAAGTACAGGTCGGCGACCTACGAGTGGAGCTTGCGAGCTCGGGAGCCTCTGAAAGCAGACTAAGGCGCGGTCTTAGGAAGCTTTCCAAGTGCCGACGACCGAGCGAACTTTTTATTTGTTCTCGAGGGGGAGGCAGAATCCGATCAGGGACGGCTGGATTCTCGACCGGGATTTCGCAGCTTCCTCCAATTGATTATTATATCTTTCGATTCTGATCCGCACGGCGATTTCGAAATAACGATCATTCTTATTACACCTGCGCACTTAAAATACCTTTTATTTCTTCCTCTCGCATCAAACGAACGCCAGAATCGGATCAATAGAAATAATAGGAGGCTGCGTGCGCGTGCGCGCGACATGTCCTTTTTTCGTCATTTAACTCGCTACTCGTGCAATTAAATCGTGCGTTGCTGGTCCTCCGAGTCGTACGACGATATTTGACAGCGGACTAATTGGAGTTGTCCTTTTTGCGTGGCAGTGACGACGATTCCCGGGGAATATTTCGCGATCGGCCTGCGAAGAGATAATTTTTCGCGGGAAAATTTACGGCCGCACGATAATAATGCATTAGCATGCGCGCGGCACGGTGGAGTATCGTCGATGCGGAAACGGGAGATTCAATTAATCGAATTAATAAATTCACCGATCGAGTTATTTGCGACTCGGCCACGCGCTATGAAAATGCCCGTGGCCTCCGCTGTTTCGAGCATAATTAATTAGCGCTCCGCCGAATTAGCTATTTTATTTTACAAATAACGCCCGACCCGGGCGCGGAGATGTTGTTTATCACGTTCGTGCAGCCTGTTGCAATTTGTTATTTAATTGCTCGGATGTTTCCGCCGCGCTATTAATTATTTCATTCCTCGAATCTTCTTCGATCCTTCGTTCGACGGCTGGCACGCGAAATTAATTTTCATTTTTCTCCAATGATAATAAAGTTTCCTTTCATTAAAAGCATGGAATCTTTCGAGGCTGATGTTTAACATAATTCAAACGAAATCCTGACACGTAACGTGTAATAAAATTAAAAAAAAAATATGTAAATAATATCACGGTTTGTCGAGATCGTAGGTAATTTTAAATAAGCTTTTCATTTAAAATCACAATAAATTTACATAAAATCGTTAATAATTAGGTGTAAAATTACGTGTAATTTTCAACAGTTCATTTACATAATTGATATAATTCACATAAAATCTTAATATTCATATTTTGATACGTTACCTGCACATATGCACATAAATGCCACCAAAATCAATGAGTTATATTACGATTAAATTTGTAATCATCAAACTTGCATTATAAATTTATCATAGATAATTATCCGAATCAATGTTTCTAGTGTGACTACTATAAAATAACACAATAATAATATCAATTCATACGTGCAACTACAAATTTACTGTTTCAATTATATCTTTTTCTTTTCGTTTAACGCGCAAATGCGCTTCATTTCAGCATCGTTGAATCGTCAATCGATTAAATTTGCAATCGCCGAATTTACATATTGTACGAATTTAATCGCGCTACAATCCAACGATTTCGTCCCGGACGTTCGTTGAAAAAGTGCAACGCTTTTTTCCACAATGCACGATGTATGAAACAACGCGGCGGGATTAAAACAACGGCGATTATTTACGCTACGACTCAATATGAATCATGAGGAGATTAAATACGTTAAAGCTATCGCTATAAGATTAATCGCCGCATTTTTCGACGTCGCGGCGCGGAATCGCGGATTAAAATTCCACGGCGGCGTCGGCGGCTTGCAGCGGCGGCGGCGCCGTCGGCCGTGTAAACGCGCTTTAATAATAATGTAAACGCGCAACGAATGGGAATTAACGCGCGCTCGCATCGCCGTGAAACAAGAGAGAGGAGAGAGAGAGAGAGAGAGAGAGAGTGAGCGAGCGAGCGAGCGAGAAAGAGAGAGAGGGAGAGGAGAAGAGGGCGGAGGGATAGACGACCGCTGAAATTCGCCCCTAAATTCCAGCTGCGTTCGCCAGCTCGTGAGAGCGAGAGAGGCGGGCAGAAGGAGACAGATAGAGGAAAGGAAGGAGGGGAAAGAGAGACTGCTGGTAACACGCATAATTGCATAAAATTACGCGGTCCCATATTATTGGCGTCGCTTTAAACGGGCACCGATTAACAGGCGACCTTGGCCAGCTCGTTGAATTGGCGAAATTTTGCTAGCGCACACCTGACTCCTTGTTTCCGCGCAGATGGACCAGCGGCTTTCATCTGTTTCCGAGCGCGTCAATGTGTGACGATTCCGTTGCGACGCAGGACGTTAATAACAGCCGGCACCGTCGTTCACGCTTTATCATTCTCACCATCCGCTCGTACAGCCGATGGTTAAAAGGATGATCCGATGATCGCGCAATGCGCGCTGCGTGGAGCTCGGGAGAATCAATTACGAGAGGCGGGGCGGGATTTCGATCGGGCTTGATGATACATGCGTAAAACCTGCACTCCAATCCACATCGGGGGATATCCAGCAGCCTCGCACTTATTATCCGGTTTTGCACGCCGTCGACAGCCGTTCTTCCTGCCCGCCTGCAACTTTAATTCCGCGCCGGAAGTCTTCGCGCTCGCCGTGAGCGCCGGCGAGGAGTGCTCGGCAAACAGCGAGTCGAACAAACATCTCGTTAAACGCCTTCTTATCCTCTCCGCATGTCTTGACGGTTATATATCGCGCGTCTCGGTGCTTCTCCCGGTGTGCTCGAAAAAAGACTCACGGCGGCCCTCTCTAATTAGTACACATTAGTATACTCAAAAAAGGATTTGGTAATCATTATCTAGATTTAGTCGAATAGTTTCAGCTAAATTGTTTGGTTGCTGCAAATAATAATTTAGTACTATATATTGAACTATAGTACTATGTACTATACACATACGGTACCAAGTGATTTGGCTGCAGTAACCGAACAATAACAATTTAATTGAAACTACACTGCAAATCCAAGTATGTTATTTTTACACACATAAACGTCTAAAAATAACACATTTGACGCGCGCGGTATGTACGACCGAATGTAATTTCAAAGGATCGCGATTACACGTGCGGGATCCTTGTTTCCGTGGTCCTCATTTGCACGGACACAACGTGTACAATTTTTAATCGAAATTTTGTAAACGCGGGGATGCATTCAGACACATTTTTCACCGTGAGTCGTCTCGGCGAAATTTTCGAGACTTTCGTTCGCGCGCGAGATTTCTACAAGCGGCGGGAGGAAATCGCGGAAACGCATTGGTCTCGACCTTCACGCGATTACGTCGATGGATATTCGCGCAGGAAGCACAGTCGACACTCAGGGAAATCTGTTTTCCCTAACTCTCCTGCCTACCTACCCGCCTGCCTGCGTCGCCCTTTGCCGCCCCTTCTCCGCCCTCCTATTCAGCCGCGAAAGGGTGCCGCGAAAATTCGTGGCTTACGATGTTAGCGCGAGGCGAAATGAAAATGCGACAGTGAAATTGCCAATATCGTCACCCCAGATTTTCTTCGCTTTCGCTTACTTCCTCTCCGGTCCCCGTCTCGCCGTACGACAGCGGAAGATCGAGGGGTCCCGGTCGAGTTTTCCTTCCCGTCCGGAAGTTAGTCGGATATGGCGGCGACGGGGGACGAGTCGGAAATTTTGCAGCGCAAAATCTCCAGACATAATTTCGCCATGATAATTACGTTTCGTGATGTTCCACGATAATATTCGGCAAGCGAAGCTGCGATATTAATCGTCGAATATTTGCGAATATTTATCGCTTATGTTGTTTCAAAGACAATTTTTACCTGTCCGGAGATAGATAGATAAATAGATAAATTTATTATACGCTTTGAGAAGGATCCTCTCAAGCACAGTATTGAAAAAAGGTAGACAAGTTCCCTTCGAATTGACCCTTTACATTTTACCTTGCCAATCGGTAGTGATCCGACACGAGTAACGCGACCTCGCGTCTAGTCAGCCGCAGCTGGCAGTAGATACGTCGCGTATCGGTCGGACAAACACGGGAAAGAGATAGAGAAAAAAGCGAATGGATGGGCATGGAGGAGATGTCGCAGAATATTAGGAACTGTTTCAATAGAAGAATCGAGGAGAAACGAGCTCGTACAAATTCATAAATAAATATCTTTTGAAGTAATATTAGACAAATCGAAGAATAAATTTTGAGATGATATGTTACACGAAATACCGGATGTATTCAGCGTGAATATTATAATTATCAATAATATGTAAATAGCGTAAAAATATGAATATTATGTTTTGTAAATTAATAATAAGACGAGA